TTTTCTTTTTTCCTGTATTTTAGGGAAGGGTCTACAGGGTGTTCAGGGTCTCACTACTACATGGGATTCATAGTGATCTGCCTGTTTACAGCCTCCCAAGTGCTGGGATTACAGGCGCACGCCACCACGCCCAGTCTCAGTGCACCCCGGGGGTGGGGCTGGCAGGGCACACCAGGATCGGACTCTGGCTGTTGCGCTCTGCTTAAGTAGGCACTTTAGTCCTCTGAGCTATTTGCTGGGCGATCTCTAGAGAAAACAAAACCTGGACATAATCTGATTTGATACTATTTCTCTCAGAAACTACCTGTTTACCAAGCTATTAGGTGGAGAAACATAATGAGTTAATTTACATAACAGTCATAGTTCCTGGAATATTTCCTATGTATTGGGCACTGAGGTGCACTTTGGTTTTCCTTTTTTTTGTGATACAAAAGAGACTCAAACCCAGGGCCTCTTGCACACTGAGCCAGTGCTGTACCAGCTAGCTGAGCACCATCTGGGTGCCTGTCTTCCCTAGTCCTAGGGACAGGGCCATGACATACTAGCCTTGCATTGCAATGAGCTGGGAGACATCACAGACATCAGGAGGTGAGATTTGGAACCAGTCTCTGGGAATCAACTGCAATACTGCCTTTCCTGTTGGGAACATTGCTAATTTGCTTTCCACAGTATGTCTCGGGACTTACATTTAGTGTAGCAGACCTGAAACTCCAGAGGCAAACAAGTCTCCAAGTACTGAAATCTGTAAGAAAGAACTGAATATGTCTCAACTGCCCTTTAACACCTGCCAAGTTGGAATCTGAAATAGTTCACATTTTGGACTATCCAAGATTAATTTCACACTTGACATGTTCACAGTTTCTTCAGTCCTAAGTTGTGCTGTTGAAGAAGTGACATCCCCTTTGAAGGAAGATATAAAATAGATTGAGAATGTTTCTCTGTGTAAGTCTTTCCATTTTTTAAGTTTAGAGATAAAACTTGTTGAGTATAGTGAGATTTAATATTTCTACAACTGTTTGGAATTCTAGGTAAAAAATACTAGTACAAAGTATGAGTACTGGTATTTCTTAAAATCTATGATAGATTATAGACTCTTGGGCTGGCCTGATAGCTCAGTGGACTACAACACCTGCTTAGGCAGAGTGCAGCCTGGCATACCGTGCTGTGTCGTGTCGTTCCCCCCCCCTGCTGAGATGGTGATGGAGACTGGGCGTGGTGGCCCATGCCTGTAAGGAGTGGTGGGAGGCTGAAAAACAGGAGGACCACTACAAGTTGGATCTACATAGTGAGACCCTGTATTCCCTGTACTAAATGCAAAAAATAAAAGAATTACAGACTTTAAGAATAATAATACTAAATTTCTAAATATTGAACGCATATCTATATTTTTACATTACTTTTATTCTTTTTGGTACTGGACATCCTATCTAGGACCTCAGCTTGCTAAATGTGTTCTACCATTTAGCTATACCTTAGCTCCTCATTCCTACTTTATGCATTTGACAGAGGCAAACTGGGGAACAAAGATCCTTGGAGTAAAAAACTGAACAGTGGAGTTGGTGAGATAGCTCAGCAGTCTTAACACGCCTGTTTAGGCAAGCTTAAGCACAGCACTCTATGCCACATTAACAGTGCCCTCAGGGTGGGCTGAGCTGGCCAGAAAAAAAAAAAAAAAGTCTAGGGGCCAGGGATATAGCTCAGCGGCATAAGCACCTACCTGGCAAACATAAGGTCCAGAGTTCTATCCCTGGTACTGAAAAAAAATCTGAAAAACAGTGCAGTGACTTTAGTCAGGAATCATTTTAGCGTAGGTTCTGGTGCTAAGACTACACAGGGCAGATAGGTCAGAGCTCTGCCATTTTACTCTATGTGAGCCTGGGCAAACTGCATAACTTTCTAACTCTGTTTCCTCAGCTTACACAGGGGGTAATAGAAGTACTTCCTGGTGGATTAAGTGAGCTAAGATACGTGAGTAGATTGTAGTAGAACATGAGGCTGGGTGTGGTGGCTTTGTGGAGGAGAAGGCACTGGAGAGAAATTGTAAGGGGAAAGGGCTTTTCCCTCTGTTCTGGTGTGCTAGCCCAGCCTTGGTGCCTAAGCCGTTTCTTGCACTGAGTGCTGGTGCGAGGCAGCCTCCCTGACTGCCCTGGTTGAGCCCCTGAGTATGCCTGGCTTCCTGGGCTGCAGTCTTCAGCCTTCTGGGAGGCTTCCCCTGCTGAGTTCCAGCAGCCTTCCAGCAGCTGGCAGTTTCCACCGGCAGCTCCTGGGGTGGTTTTACAGGGGAGCTGCCAGTAGGACACTTCCCCTGAGCAGTTTCCCCAAGCACCTGGAGTGGAGATTGCCAGCAAGGTCCTGCAGTGCTGCGGTGAAACTTCTCTGTCATTTATTGTGCACTGGCCGTGTCCTCTTCAGCAGGGTTGGAATCTCACCTTGGTCGAGCCTCTTGGCAAGCATATTTTTCTCTCAGTCCTAGTGATATAGCTGATCCTTGTATCTACTACTGTTCTTATACTGTTTTCATTAGCTAGTTCCTTGTTACTCTAGGGCCCTGTTATTCTTTAAACTTATTTGCCCTGTTCATGTTACTTTGTGGTTTCTATTAATTGGACTCTGATAAATTAGGGAATGAGAAGGGATCAAGAGATGGGCTGGGGATATAGCTCCGTGGTACAGCACCTGCCTGGCCAGCACAGGTCCTGAGTTCCACTCCTGGCATCAAAAAAATAAAAGAGGTGGAAGGGATGACAGGATGTAAGATACATGCATGTGCCAGCTCCACACAAGGAATTAAACATTATGTATTGGAAACATGCACTAATAAAAATAATTTTTAAAAATCAACCACAGTGAATCACACTTGGAATAAGATAAAGCAGTCCAGCAGGGGCATGGTGGCACACACCTATGGTTCCAGCTGCTGAGAAGGCCAAGGAAGGGTTGCTTGAGCCCAAGATTTCAGGGCCACCTGAGCACCATAGCAAGACCCTGCTTGTCACTTAAAAAGAAAGGTTTAGGTGCCATAACATCTGACAGCTTATCTTTAGGGTAGGGCCTGGGATTCATTAGGGTTAGTGCGAGTTATGGTCTGCTGTTCAAACAGGGCTACTTGTTTGAGAGTACCAGCCCTGGTGTTCCCAAATCTTCCTATTCTCTCAGAGCTGGACATAGAGATTTTTATACAAAATCTCCCAAATTTTACACTTTGACTCATGGTTGACAAATCACATCCCTTGTGTGCCAAACAGTCCACATTTGTGAGTTGCTAGTCTAGAGTGCTGGGCAGGGTTGTGTGATTTCTTGGCTGTCCACAAACTTGGAACAACAAACTAAGGGTTGTGGAGTGAGTGAGTGGAGCAGTATGGTAAAGCAGGAAATAGAGTTTAGAGTACCACAGAACCTCAAAGCCCAGTTGTTGAAGACTGCTTAGTAAGAGGGGAAACATGCTGAGGTGTGTATCAGGTTCTGTTAATTTTCAACAGTGACTTTGAAGAGGAAGAATTCCTGCCCTGTTGTAGATGAAGTAACTGAGCCTCAAGAAGTAGCACAGTCCCCATTCCTGCAGCCCCATCCAAATTAACATTTTGTGCTCACTTGGGCAGCACATACTAAAACTGCAGCGATATGGAGAAGATTGGCATGGCCCCGTGCACGGATGACACGCATATGGGTGAAGTGTGTCGTACTTCACAAAAAATCAACAACATTTTGAAATGCCTGGCTATGTATAATAGAGATAGTTTGTGGAGTGTTTAGAAAATTGGATAATACTTAAAAGGAAAATGAAATAATCTGTCTTCTTCTGGTCCAGTTAGAATCACTGGTAACATTTCTCTGTTTGCATTTAATATGGTTGATTATGGGCTATACATGTATTTTTGCATTCTTTACTTACTGGGTAGTAGATCATAAGCAGTTTTCCTTTATCATTAACTTACTCTACAGATTTTTTAAAATGTCCTCATTATAGTCCATTTTTTTATGTACTCATTCTTATCCCTGTAGGTTGTTTTCAAGGTATTACTGTACCATAATATTGGGTGAATATTTTTGTATCTAAACTATGGACAGATTTCAGATTATTTCCTCAATGATATAGTGGTAAAGTCAAAGGGCATAAGTGCTCTTGAGAAGATTTTCTACTACCATTTTTTTTTTTAACTAACTTTATGGAGAAAATTATATTTTTATAATTTTAGTTTCTTCACTTCACCTGGACTCTTTATATTACTTTTTTTTCCTTTTTATATTACTGGTGAGGTATTCATTGCTTATGTGTTCAAGGTTCTTTCCCCATGGGTTTCTGCCTCTTTTGTGGTCAGATGGGAGAATCTTTATCGTTGGATTTCCATTTGTTTTTAGTTCTTTTTATTTAGAGAGGACTTTCATGTAAAAAGAAAACAAAGTGCACAGTTTTATTGTCTGAGGTTGGAGGAAGTAGCATTTAATAAGGTACTTCCTTATTACTATCACTTAGGTTTTTTTTTTTTTTTTTTTTTTTTTTTGGTACTGGGGATCAAACTTGGGACCTTGCACTTGCCAGGTAGGCACTTATGCTGCTGAGCTATAGCCTGGCCCTACCTCCTAGATGTTGAGCAATCTGTATGTCAAATGGGAGCTTCTGTGCCTCTACGCAGATGCTGCATGATGTTCCCATCAACTTATCCAAGTGTCTGGGTTTTGATTTTCTGTTGGTGCCGGGGAGGTGCTCCAGAGTTTTGTGTGTGTGTGTAGCTGATGATGAATATAAGTCATAGCAGCATCTACTTTGTGCCAAGTGTGCCGACTCCTAGCAGCAGTAGGAGCAACCGTGCTTTACAGAAGAGAATGCTAAAGCACACAGGGATTAACTGCTATGTAGAACCAAACACTTTTGGTCCTATAATTTCATTTTTAAGAACTTAAAGAACAAAATTGAGGTGTGAGTTTTCCCTATTGTTAATAGCAGATAATACAGTGTCTGAATTAGTGTTAGGAGGTATTTCCTTCTTGAAGCAGGTTTCTAAGAACGTAGGGAAATCTTCTGTTGCCTGCACCTCGTCAGTGTCTAGCTCTTTCAAGGAATCAGTCTTGAAATAAGAGCTAGGCCTTTGATATTTTAGGTACCTGTAGCTGATGCTTTGAGTTCTAAAATAGGCTTGAGTATAAGGATTGAAGCATGTTATTTTCAATATAAAAAGCTTTTTTAAATTGTTGGCTATATTTAGTTAAACCAAATAATTTATTGACTATATGAGCAGGAAAAGAAAAACCATTTAACTGCCCTAGTGTCTGCCAAGAAAATTGAAGTGACTTCAAAGCTTTGCTCTGATAGTTAATGGCATTGAGTACAGCTGTTGCTTTAATTAATGCAGCTGGTTGATCCTTTGGCTCAGTCAGGCTATGACTGTGAAGTTCTAAATGAGATAACATAAAACCAGTGGCACTGCGCAGTTCATGCCTCTCTTGAGGAAATATTTCATTGCCCTGACAGAAATTGTTGCTTTGGGAACTCTCTTTTCATCTTGAACTTTTCATTGTGAACACTTGGAATTCATAATTTTTCATTTAAATTTAAGGTTAGTGGTTTGCCACAGGCAAGGAGAGAACCTGTCAGCATTTTATTAGCATTGATAAACACGCAGTTCGATGTGGAACCCAGAGTTGTGAAAATATGTGACGAATACAAACATATAAATGACCTGGAGCCAATTTCCATGCTCAACATAGATTGGAGTGAGTCTAAAAAAAATTGAAATTGGCCCACAGCAGTGAAGCTTATTTTTGGCTGCTGGTTCTCCTTTCCAAGAGTCACCACTGCAGTATTGGTCACCATCAGAAGGTTTGTAGACACTCATCAAGCTGATAAAAGTTTTGTAGGACAGTCTTCATATTGCTTTGCTGAAGAGTGAAACGGTGAACAAGGTTTGAGCTCCTTGGGGAAAGATTTCATTGAAGATACAGTAATGAGACAAGTGACAGCATTGCTTCCATTTACTGTGATGGCATTCGATTATGGTTCTCTAGCAAATGTACCTTGAGCCAAGTTACAAATCTGAATCAACTAATAACTTAAAATTCTTGATGTAGTTACACTTAAAAGCGATAGGTTAAGACAGTTTCCCAGTACAGTCATTCCAAAGAGGCCAGGCCTGGTGGTGTACCTCTGTGATCTAGCACTTGGGAGACCAAGACAGGATTACTTTGAGGAGATCAGGCTAGAGTATATGGTAAGACCCTGTCTTTGAAAGAGATTCCATTGCATTAATGAATTATTTTCTATCAGAGCCTGTAGAGTGGCAGCCACTTGGTCTGCAGGCCTTGTGCGGTGCTGTGCATTTCATTTATTCTTCAGTACATATTTAGGGAAGACCTTTGATATGCTGGATGCTGTCCTGCAGACTGAGCACTAAGTGCTAAATTATCCTGTCCTGATGGAACTGACAGTTTAGAGGGAAGGGGGTTAAGAAATAGAGTGTTCGGTGGATATTTAACTTTGCTTGTTTAATGTGCTTTACTTGATTTCTAACCTAACTAAAAACATAATATACTTCATACTGCCTTTCTTGTAAGGAAAGATCATAAAACTAGATGTTTCACACAGGTTTACTTTGCTAATCTCTTCCTACAGACTCACATTCTTTGTTTCTAAATTTTTGACAGTATCATAATCTCGTGCTTCTGTTAGCATAATGGCGCCGCGGCGGCTCCTGCGAGCTGGGAGTGGTCAGAGCGGCCGGCGCCCAGGCCGGCCCGGGGCTGAGGCCTTGAGGAGCGAGCGTGCAACTCGCAGGTAGCCAGCCATCTCGAGCGGCGGAGGCTACGTGGTCTCCCTCGTGCTTCTGTTTAGGTCAGAGTTTTCCAGGGTTTAGATTTCCTTGATCAGTTATGTTTTTGAAATTTAGGAGAATTTCAGGGTTTCCTGCTTTTAATTTTGCCAAGTAAGGGCACTAAAAAAGAAATAATGGAAACTACCATCACTGTTCATTTTTTTAACAACTAAAAGTAAAAATCTCAGCCCAAGGAATAGTGCCTTATGTTGAAAAAAGAAAGACTTTGTGAAGTGGTCATTGTATTGTCTTTTTCTTATTTTATTATGTACCTTGGAGAGAACAATTATAACTAGTTATGGTTTTGGTTTTCCTCCTGATGTTGCTAAGGGATTTCACTGTTTCACACTAGGAGGTTGTATGTGTTCTTTCTTCTGAGGCAGATGTTGTGTAATGGCTTGCAGGCATGTGCTGTGTAGTGGACATTGTCTTGGAATGCTGTACAACCCTGCAGAGTGGGGGTGTCAGCGCTGATCAGTCTGCCCTCTGTGGTCAACTAGCCTTGCCTGTAATCCTGAGCAATCGCTTTTCATCTGTGGCTTTTGGATTTCCATCTACAGATTGAGAAAAGATCATTGCTTATGTTTTATCCTGGTGTTTGAGACAGGGTCTCACTGTGTAATCCAGGCTGGCTTCAAACTTGTGGCAGTCCTCCTTGGCCTCCCAATGCTGGGATTACAGGCAAGCACCTTTGTACCAGGCTACTTTTCCTTTTTTCCTACACTTTTAAAGAGTATGTCTTGTGTGTAAAAGTTAGTAAAAACCTTTACTATGTCTTACAAAAATGTGAAACAAGCTTCTGTTTGTATTCCTTCAATAGAAAGCATTTAATTGTTCTCCCAAGGATTAATTTAAGGGCGCAGTGTTGGGGCCTGAGCTTTCAGGATTTATTGTGAACTTTTTGATAATGGTATTAGCTGCACACAGACTCGGCTCTTTTCTCTCTTGCTAGGATCTTTGGGGAATTGTTACAAAGTTTCTACTGCCGAACATATTGTCAGGAATTTGACCCATATAAATAAGTGAATAGACCTGTGAAATATGGGTAATTTCACCTTGGAAATAAGAATATCTAAAATATTAGATTATTTTGAGTTACTAAAAAAGGCAGCATTTTAGGAGAATTATACTTTTAAAAAATTTACTTTGTAGTACTAGGACTTAAACATAAGGCCTCAATAGTCTTTCATTTTATTTTTTGACAAAAAATCTTGTTAACTTACCCAGGCTTACCTCAAATTTTTTATTTTCCCAAGTAACTGGGATTTCAGTTGTGTGTCATCAGGCCTGAGCCACATACATGCAGTTGTTGACATAAAATTGTGGTGAATTATTCTTAAGCAGTATCTAAGCAATGATGAAATTGCTTAAGGAAAATTATTAGAAGTGTCTTTTAGATTTCTACAACGATCTCTGACCTTGGTTTCAAAGAGCTACCATAAAGGATCTTTGTTAAATTAAGTAGTTCTAAATTGAATAGTTCTAAAATGAATCTTTTTGGAGCTCCTGGCTAAGTAAATTACTACTCAGGTCATTTTTAAAAAGATAAATCTGTACACCCAGTGTGGTGACTCACACATGTAATCCCAGCACTATGAGGCTGAGGGAGGAGGATCACAAGTTCAAGCCCAGCTTGAGCAGTTAATTGAATATGTTGGCAAGACCCTGTCTCAAAACAAATTAAAAGACACCATAAATGCAGAGATGCAGTTCAGTGCAAAGGCTTTAAATTCAGTTTTCAGTACTGAAAACAAATTTATGAAGGAGTGAAAGATACAGATCTTGGTGTAATTTGGTCAATTTTAGCAAACACATGCAAATGTAATTCACCTCCCACTCAAGATTTAGGCAGTTTCCATCATCTGAAAAAGCAATCTGGTC